CCAACACTATATTCTGAGTAAGTATATTTTAAAACCATTCTTAAAAATAAACTTAGGATTAGTAGTAATTTTGGGAATAATTGTGTGACAGGGATAGTGAACGCAATTGAGGGATGACGGAAGGCCCTCTACAAACTAGGTAAAACACATCATTTTAATTTTTTACGCGGATCTTAACTAAATAATATTGACATGTTTAATTTAATGGATTTCCGCAGTTTAATGGCTGATTCTATTAAATATCTTAGGAATCGTAGGAGCCTACAAAATGCATACGCATGAACGTGCACGTTTCACCAACAGTTTTATTTTTTATAAGATAAAGTGACAAACGATCACACAGTCCACCTGATGGCAAGTGGTTGATGTGACTCATAGACATCCACATCTATCCTCAAAAAATAATAAAAATGCAGATGCGTGATAACCCATAAAATGAAATGTTTCTTTTGCAGTAAAAAGGTTCTCCGGTTCTCTACACTCACCATACGAAACATAGCAGTGCTAAGTTACTATTTTACGCTGGTATTCTGTGAGGACGTGAGGGCTTTCTCGGTCGAGCTGACCCATTCGTGCTACAACTATACTACTAATAAAGCTGCAGTATGGCTCTGCCACGTATAAAATAATAAAAAAAAACGCTATAGAAGACGTCACAGCCTGTAAAGCGCCTATCACAATCGATAGGTTTTACATTTTCCAAACTTTATTATAATTTGAACAAGTTACGGAACGCACATTGTTCACGCCCTGAGTTGCCCCGACAAAGGTTGACTGGACTAAACTAAACTAACGGGCGTGGTTCCAAAATCAACCCACCTATCCGCTAACAAACAAAAGAAGCAAACAACAAAAGAAAATATTTTTATTATTACGTATTACGGCGGGCGTGATTGTAGAAACAATCAACCACGCTCTGCTACCAAAAATGTTCACGCCCTGAGTTGCCCCGACAAAGGTTGACTGGACTAGGGCCCATGAGTAATCCCATCGACGGGCAATAGAGGACGGGGCCCAACGGCCTATCGATAAATGTTCAAAAAACGGCTGACAAATAAGCAAGCACTTACCTATTTCAGGAGGTAGGGTTGACCACAGGGTACCAGTCAGGTGATAAGTGAGATGTTTGTAAGTAGTGTGTAGTAGTGTTTATATATGTGACCTGACGGCCCGATTTAATCTGACAGAAGATCCACCGGAGCTGATGTTCTCCCAATGTGCGCTCCCTCCAGTCGTAGATCACCAATTGAAAATTTCTGCCTTCATTTCACTATTTCAGTTTATCAACTTTATTGTACACTATTTCAATCTATCAACTATATTGTACATTTAATTAACTTCAAACTCTAGGATAAGCCTCGCTAATCATACTCAAACACGTGACACACGGCACAACTAATGAACCGTCGATAAAAGTTCAAAATTCAAGGTTCCGGGTTCACCCAGCACAGAACCACAGACACGGGAACGAACTCGGTCTCTTCTCGAGTTACAAAGTTAGCGTTCCGCACAGCAAGCTAGATTCTTTCGTACGATATTAAAATAGCACGCACGCAATCATAACTCAAAATCCGCCTCGTTGCAAACGAAGTTATTTTAATCAATCAAATTCAATACAAGCCTCTTGTCACGAAACGTACAAATTAGACAAACCAATTCGAGGCGGTCTACACGAAACCCAAATATTCCATTGTAAATTAGACGCGCACAATTACTCAAATTCTAGACTATCTTCACGCACAATCCCTGACGGGGTAGCCAGAGAGAACAGATCGCCAAGTGTCACGATCCTTACATACCTCTTTCGCTTCTTTCACATTCATTATCTTCTTCATACATGCACGTCTAGGTATCCGAGTACTCTTGACCCTACCCTCTTCGAGCAATTTGCTCACATGGTCTTCGAAAGTTAGTCTCGGTCTACCTCGACACCTTTTAATATTAACTTTCGCGCTATTTATTTTCTTCACCATTCGGTCTTCACTCATTCGCTCAACGTGCCCAAACCACCGAAGCACGCCCTTATCAATTTTTGTGATAAGGTCATCTTTCAAACATGCCATATTGCGAATCTCTTCGTTTCGCTTTCGGTCGGCCATGGTAACGCCGCACATTTTACGAAGAGATCGCATCTCCACTGCATTCAACTTGCTTTTATGCTTCTTCTGGCATACCCAGGTTTCGCTGCCATATAACAAAGTCGGTACCAACACTGCGTTATGTATTGCAAGGCGTGCACTCTTCACTACGCCTTGCCTTTTGACTAACGCAGTCAGGGCACCATTGACTTTGTTCCCGGCAGCGACACGCCTGTCCACATCTAAATCACATCTTCCATCCCGGCTAAAAGCACTCCCCAAGTATACAATTTCATTTACTTGTCCTAGACATTCCTGATTTACCCATATTTCACACTTCGTTCTCTCTTCGTCCCTTTCAAATACCAGAACCTTAGTTTTATTAGCGTTCAAACGGAGACCTTTAATTTCACATTCCTCTTTCATACACGTGACTAATGCCTGCAGTTCTGCCTCTGATGATGCAATAAGCACTGCATCATCAGCATACAGTAGACAATTTACTTTTATGTCACCCAATTTCACACCCAAACAGCTATCTTTCAGCTTTTGTAAACAGCCGTCGAGATACAGTATGAACAGCCAGGAAGACATGACACAACCCTGTTTTACGCCCGTTTGGACGCTAAACATGGGTGACAGGTCATGCCCTACCCGCACACAGGCTGTACAGTCACAGTAAAGAGACTGCACAGCCCTTAGCAATCGACCATCCACACCATACCCCGGCAACAGTTCCCACATTTTCTTCCTTACAACCTTATCAAATGCTTTCTCAAGGTCCACAAAAGCACAGAAAATCTTCTGGTTAGCAGCCAGAAGCTTCTCCGTGATCATGCGGAGAGAAAACATTTGATCCGTGCATCCTCTTCCAGATCTAAATCCACATTGTGCCTCTCATAGAAATCTCTCGGATTTCTCTTGCATCCTACGTGTATATATATATATCCTTGACTATCAGAAACAAAAACTGGCCGCGCGCAACCGATCCAGCGGTCGCAAATAATACAACAAGTCGACAGAGCCGCGGCGGTCAAGCAACTACTTCGCACTCGCGTCTGGCGTTCGCGCCCTCTGCCGAGCGACCCACACGGGAGAGGGGGCGACGGTGACCTTTATAAAGTCAGCGGAAGGACACGTGTGTTGAATGCAAATTTCAAATGTTAATTATTTGGCCTAAACACACATGTTATGCATTTGGCATGATTTAACCATAATTCAATCAGGACTTAAAGTGTATAAATATTAATTTTTACTCTCATTGAAATTCTCGCAAGAAATTAACTTTTCTTAAAAATAAAATCCGTCTTCAAACAGTTCGGTGTATAGAAGAATATTGTATAGAACATATTGTATAGAAGAATTGAGGCCCTTCACAATTTAAAATATATCGCAAAACATACATACCAAAAACATACAGTGAATTTGTTTACCATCTACCTTTTACGAAGGTGGCTAGACAGAAAAGAGATGTGGTAAATAATATATATATATATATATATATATATATATATACTGCAAATTTCACAACATCCTGTGACTTGGTAAAGTCACGCTGCAGCTATATTATGGTTGAAGCACGAATGGGTTGGCCCGATCAGGGTAGGACCACGTTCTCAGAGAATACCAGCGTAAAATAGCAGCTTAATTTTGCTGTTGTGACGCCTCATAATTATTATTAATAAATAATAATTAAATTCATTATACAAACATTTAAAAATATCATAGAAATTATATTTTAAACAATTAGGTAAATGCAAATAATAAGCATAAAGTTCAAAAATATCCATTTGGAATATTGAATATTATAATATTAGTAAACGCATAAAATGTCTTTAAAAATCTCTAAATTTATTAAAAACCTGCTTAAAATGTTCAAAATGTATCAAATCATATATATATACAAGGCGATTATATTGCAATAACAAAGATAAATAACATTTGTAATATAATAGAAAAAATGGATCAAAATTTTCTAAGTTGATGAACGTGTTCTTGTAATGTTCCCTTATATTGGGGCGTTGCCGGAGACACATACCCAAGGTTGTACAGATATATGGGGTGGTCGGCTGACCGACTGCTAGTACTAAGGTTGCACAATGACTAGTCCTATATTTTTTTTTATTGAGTCTCAGTTCATCTGCTGTTGTTCCTTTTACAGCACCTTTTATACGTTTTTTAAATTATTTTACTTTAAACATTTTATCCTGTTTTTTTTTTATTTTTTTTATAATTTTTTTTATTTTTTCCTTTTTTTTTGAATAATTTATAATTAACACTTATATTTTTAAAACTTATTACTAATTATCATGTATTCCGCTACTCTTTTTCATGTTTTACGCTAATTACATTATCTGTTTGAAGCTAATTACATTAACTACTTCATTTTCTTATCTTTTATTATTTACAATGACCCTTTTATGTCTGTTAGTGTAATATCCTTCCAATCAACTATTTTTACTGTACAATTACATTGACATAACTTTACATATTTTCTGTATCTTGATGTAAGTATTTTGTTTTCTTTTTTTTTCCCTTATTATTTGTTAATAATAGTATAGAAAACATTTTTTTTTCACATGCTTTTGCACATATTACTAATTAGAACTTATTACTAATTATTATGTGTTTCGCTATTAAATTAATATTTTACTCTAAGTACATACATAGTCTGTTTTAACCTACTTCCATTAAACTAATTCATTTCTTTTTCTTATACTATTTAAAACAATCCTTTTATTACGTTACTTTGTTCATTTATTACTTTGTGGTTCTAAATGTAAGTATAAAAGTTTTATTATTACTATTTCTCATATTATTATTATCAATATTTGTTATTTGTGTTTTGAATTATTCTCTTTGAGAATAATTTCAGTGCTTTGTTTTGCGAATTTTAGAAAGTGAAATCGACTGTCATTGCTGTTAATAGCTTTTACATAAGGTTTCCTCTTTTAGCGCAAAACCCATACTTTGCTCGCATGAAAGTCTTGCATAAGCGAATTTCGGACAGTCTAAAAGGATATGCTCTATTGTTTGCGATGTTTGATTATCACAGCTACAGTAGGGGCTTTGTGACAACTTAAATCTAAACAGGTATGATTTAAAGCCTCCGTGACCTGTCAGAATTTGTGAAATGAAATTGTTCATTTTTACTTTACACATAGTTTTATATGCTTCTTTTATACAAGGAAAAAATTTTCTTGTCGTAGACCCTGTGTTGGATGTGCTGTACCTTTCTTGCCACCTTATAATTGAGTTGTCCCTGATTTGACGCTTTGCAAAGGACAGTGGGAAACAGTCGTAAGTTGGCGCTTGCTTAGACGTCTGCGCTGCTAATTTCGCCAATTCGTCAGCTCTTTCATTCCCTGGGATTCCACAATGAGCTTTAATCCAGAAGAACTTCACCTCACCTTGGTTGTTACGTATTTCCTCTATATCTTCTAGAATTTCAGCTACCAGAGGATTAAGAGTGCTAGGATTTGAAAGGCTTTCCAGGGCCGACCGAGAGTCACTCAGTATATTAGACTTACTAAATCCCCGTTTGCTTTTTATGATACTGAGTGCCTTCAATATTGCAACTAGTTCCGCCTGGAAAACGCTGCAGTGATTACCTAATTTTATTTTTACCTTGTGGGTTTCCCTTCCATTTTCCCAGCAGCTTACAGCGGCCCCAACCTTTCCTGCGATTTTACTACCGTCAGTATAGATAGCAGGCCAGTTGTTTTCTATCATTTCAACATCCTTTTCTGTACATATGTCATTGTAAGTCTCTGGGACACGGAACGCTGGATGTGGAAGATTAAAAGGACTTATTGGTATGGCAAGTTTCCTCCCTGGTAGTTGCTCAATGGACTTTCCTCTTTTTATTTCGTATATGTCTAGTTGTTCTTGAGCTCTTAAGTCTAGAGGTATAATTCTTGCTAAGGCGGCACAGGAAGTTAGCGAAGATGTTCGATGAGCTTTACAAATCATAATTCAGAATACTCTCGTTATAGTATCAAGACGTTTTCGTATATTAGCGACTAATCATAGTAAGGTCTAACGAACCAAAGCATTAATATAGAAGGTCTCTATGATGCATAAGCATTATGATAGCAGAGTTATGACTTGAAGTCCCATATGAATAAGACATACAATAGTATGGTCTATGAAATAAATGAAATATGTGGAAGGTCTCAAATATGTAAAAGCATTATTTTGAAAGAAATGGGACTTGAAAAGGATTATTATAGTGGCGTGTAGGTTGCTTCGCAGCCTCTGAGACCGAGGTAAACTTGGACTCACTAACCGATGTGTCCTAGACATATCATCTTAGTGCCGGTGGTAAGCGGGTTTGTTGTAGCAATACGACTTGCCTACCATTTGTGGGCGGCGTCTTAGCGCATAGCGTTACGATACGTCGGCTATCTTTCGGATTAGGGTGAGTGTGTTTGGTACTACTTTTAAGTGCAGCAAGCATACTCAACTTCATGTCTTAGTGCGATAGCGCTATGATACGTGGAGTTTTGGCTATTGACGTCTTAGTACCGTTCTACTATGATACGTTGGTGGTATTTTTAGTTAACAACATTATCAATTTTGTTACCAAAGTCGATAGGGATCATGTGGGTGTGTTGTGAGGGGGCGCCATCCGTATGATAGTTGCATTGATGCTTACTGCTACTTGCTACTGCACTTGTGTCTTGTGATGGATCTGCGGGTGTGCTACACCCGATTCGACACATCTTGTGGTTCTAGTCGATGGAGGTATGCGGGTGGTGATGTCTGCTGGGACTGTATGGGGGACCTTGGGATGGTGTAAGCCCGACGATAGTCGTATTGATGCTTGTTGCATTCTGCAGCATTGCGTCTCTACGATGGTTGTTTGGCGGGTCGCTATTCTCAATGGCGCTCTCTGCGTCTTGGTATGACTCACAACCTAAGTAGCTTTGCCCAAGTCGGGTCCCTTCATTGCGGGGCTGCAGACTGTCTGCCTTCCATGATGTTTTATATAACTACTTAATAATATATCTCTATAAAGTTCCCACCTTTGAAAGATTGAAGGCAACTTGTTGGTGGGTGAGACAAACATGATCGAAAAATGCATATACTCAACGTCAGTGACACAAACCCTTTCTGATGGCGAATTATTACTATTATCTTATAACTGCCTATTGGCTATATCTGCCATTGTATTGGTTGGTGGAGCATATGTGTCGACCTCATGCGGGTGGTAGCTGGAGGGAGAATCTGAGGAGGTTCTCAAGGCTGCGACCGAAAGCCGCGCAACGTGGGACCCCATTCCCTTGAGGTGAGCGGTAGACTCATGACACGCTCTGCAGCCAATTGGCCGTGCTGACCATGCAATTGATGGTGATGCCTAACACTTACATCACGTCTGCAGAAACGGCGGTCTGGCAAGTGGAGGCGCTCACGGAGGGCTTTTTATGGTCAGTGTGCCTATTGTTGCCTAACCCGTGTGACGTACATTCACTGTGGCTGGATTTGATCGTATTCTGTTATGTGTGTCGTTCGTTACACTGTGTTTCGTATGATGAGTGTAGAGAACCGAGAAACTTTTTAATAAAAACGAGCCATTGTTACTCTTCAAGGGTGACGCATCTTTATCATGAATCTTAATCGAGGGTAAATGTAGACGTCTATGAATATAATAAAATAGAATAGAATGATTTCTATTCAATATAGATTATTACATAATACTTATTGAAAGTCATATACGAGTACCACTGATTCTAAAATACAAAATTTCATAGGACTAGAAAATTAATTAAAGATTTGAATACATTTGACAAAAAATGGGAGGAGGCCTTTGCCTAACAGTGAGATGTAGTTTTAGTTGTAAATTTACTTTTAATTTTCCTACACCCAGCTTTACTGTCCCAGAACACATGCGATTGAAGAAGAAAGGCTCTCATACATTACTATTTTTTGTGCATCAGATTTGGTCAAAGTGTTGTACTATATAAAATATCTTTACAACAACTGTAGAACACATATAAAGTCTTATCTATCAGTCTTAACATTCTTTGACTCCTGAAACCAAACCTAGCATATATGTATGCTGACTGGCTAAGACGGTCATATTAACTTTAGTTTACACATGATAGTCCAGAAGTCAAAGTATCTGAATAGACTGGGTACTCTTGTCTGGGAGAGTGTTCCAGTCATGGTAATTAGTTATTAATATCTTCATCATTATCACAACAGCCCAATAAATTCCGCTGAACCGAGGCGTCCCCCATAGATGGCATCAAAGGGATTTTATTACTTTCAGTTGTTATAAAAACAATGCCGCTGCCCGTCCCCTGTTTCATTTCCTTGGGTCACCTCTAAGAACACTTACGGAATGATATGGGATAGTGGATATTTTTATATTACAATTAGACGGTGGTGGTGTAAGAATAAAATAATAATATCTTAATGTTTATAATTGTTACTTACGTCATTATGTCCATGTTAACCTTTTATTTAATTCATTTTATTTTATATTTTCCCTTATTCCACCCAGTTCCATTTAAAATTAAAATTTTCATTAAATAAAACACTTACAGTAGTGTGCACGTTAAAGGTACATGTGTACACTACATACGTATGTGGGTAAAAGCAATAACACGGAGTGCTTCACTTATCTAAGACGCCTGTAACGCGCCGCCTTAGCTCATATGTATTATTGAAAGGGATGATATTTACTGAGAGTAGAGATACTACATTAATAACGTCAACATCATTTTTTTTAAGTAAAAGCGACAAACAGTCACAAGTAAATATATGATACCGCCTATAGACAATATCTATCTTCGATTAAAAATTTAAATTAAATATGATTTAACATTGTAGTATTTATGTATCTTTTAAAGCATACTATAAGCTATTTTTCACATGGCAATGTGATTAAAGCCATATTCCATATCATAAAGTTGGTTTCGAAAGAGGCGACAGAGGGATATTAAACCTCTTTGAAATGGTCAGCATCATCTTCCTGATAACATCTTTTTGAGAATGAGGGTAGCAAAAGTCCATTAACCATCTGATGGTACGTGAATGCTGTTGAACACCTACATCTAGCTTCAATTAGGAATCAAAATGAAATTGCGTTGACAGCCCTAAGATAAAATGCCTCCTTATTAGTAAAAACTCTACACTCCGTCCCTCTACCCTTACGATACGAAATACATCATATTAATTTAAATCTGCTATTTTACTCTAGTATTCCGTGAGAGAGTGGTCCTTTCCCCGCTGAGTATACTCAATCTACTGCTACTATAACATAGCTGCACGTCGATCTAACACGTAAAAAATATCTCAAAATAAAACAAACGTAACAGAAAACTACGTTTACCGACCCGTCTACCACGCGTGGAAACCATGGCACATAACCCGCTAATGAGGTAATTGGGGGAAGCCCATGTTCAGCAGTTGAATTTCGATAAGCTGTAATAAACTAATGCCTTGCAACTACGCTGCGGACACTGAGTTCTAATCAATTTTCGTGCAAAAAACTTAATAGTTGATATTTGAGTCTGGTTTTTTGATCTATTGACCAAGTTGTGGCGCTTTGAGATTATCCGCTACCCTAGGTTTACATGTAGTAACTAAAATACGTATTTATGTACTAGGGTTTTATATAAAACTTATCCAATCTCCTTTTCTAAATATTTTACCATTTTGGTTAACAAATGACGTAGCAGATAAGTGAAGCATCGTCATTTCGACGCGAGCACGAAATAAATTCGCAAACAAAACTAGATCTCGCTTACGTTGGGTCTCAAAGTAAAATTTATGTCCTCCACATTGCAAGCACAAACGCCGGGACTGCGCACGATTATTCGTCTTACCGTTTGAGATAGACGCTCCTCTCGAATAAATGCACGTAAAACGATTCTAAGCGTTTGTGCGTCTTTAGTAGAGATTTTGTCACTATTGTCTTTGTTATTCTTCCATTTTTTTAAATTATCAGCAGTTGACTTTAATTAGCTGCTATGAATGAATAAATTACTTTTGCTATTATTAGACGGAATTAGTATTCCCGGTTACACCCTAAAGGGTGTTACCACACCAATCAATCGATCGTCAATCGGTGGCATCGATCAATAGTAGAATGGATTAATTGACGTCGATTGAGCTATCGATTATTTAAAAAGTCGCCCCGCTGCACTGACCGCTATTTAAAATGTCGTCTAGATGAAATAAGCAATCTGTAGCCTTAAAAACGGTCGCATCTAAAGTCTTCTGCGTTTGCGTCTCTGTAATGATAATAAGAGCAAGAGCGTACTGGCCAACAATATTGCATCCTTTACTGAATACATTTTGAAAGACCCTGATGATGAGTCCACAACCAAATCGGTTAATTGTTGATTGATGATTGAACAATGTTTTATCGACCAGTATTCGTTGACGAGTTGAAGCTACCGCACTAATCGAATACCCCTTCATCACAGCTTAAATTCGCTTACTTGAAGTGCATTTCAACCCACAATATTAGGATTTTGTAATTAACACCCTAATTAATTTTTTGCGGATTTTATAGCGTTTAATTTATTAAAATATTTATATTTCGGATATTTTGAGTACTTTTCGACATTATTATGGCGCGAAATAAATTCTAGATGTAGGAAATTTACGTAAAGAAAAAACTGTGTACCCCTTTTTAAGAATATTGCAGGAGTGTGAGATTTGGCAAAGTTAAAGTTTATACGGAAAAGAAGTGCAGGAAAAAAATTGTGTATGTATTTATATGTTTTTAGGATTGTCAATTGTGATGTGCTACTGCTTGACTATTATCGCACCTGACGGTAAGAAGTGGTACAGCCAAAGATGATAAAGTAAAGTTAACAAAAACCTATTCAATCTTGCCTTGAAAACACCCACAGCAATGCGCTGCACTGAGTACGGGTTAACCTTCTCATTTGACTTTAAATATTCACACCGGCAACAGGCAGTGCGAAACGTCAATCACCGCCTTGTCCTGCTGC